GATGAGATGTATCGTTCCGCCGGTCGAAAGCCGTCGATAGACGACGCTGCAGTAGTAGTAGCAGTAGTAAGCTTGTTCGTCGGGAAGGAAACAGGCCTCGGACTGCAGTCGACCTCACTGCGAATCCGCTTCCGGATGTTGAACTCGAGCGGCCGCTCGACCGCTCAGCCGCTCGACCGCTCGGCCGCTCGACCGCTCGGCCGCTCCCTCTTTCGCTCGATTCCAATCCGTGCGGGGCGAACCGGACGACGACGACGACGATGCCTTCTCTCGTTCCGTCGCCGTTCGTTGCATCCCGACTCGACCTCGACGCATCGAATGTTTACGGTCCCACTGCTTCCGACTCGCGTTCGTAAACATATCCCTTTCCGAACGAGCTCTTCGTTCCCTTCCGATGAATTCGGCCCACGACGCCTCACTCCTCGTCGAAACGCCCCGACCGACTCCGCGTCTGCGTGCATTCGTGGCACACAGACGCGGAGACGACTCGAACCACGAAGGAAAAGGATCGACCGGGATTCGAAAGACGACTCGCCCTAAAACCTTTAGGAACTCTCGAGACGACCACGAACCCGGTAAAAGTTCGTTTCGAAGTGAAGAGCGAGTTCTACTTTCGCTCGCAAGTTCGAAAATATGGAGTTTGAGATTCAGGCCGCATACTGAATTTCGCTACTTTTGTTTGAAAGTGCTACCGGCTGTTTGCTGATGGACAAACTTCACAGAAGTGTATACATTTCTATTTACAGCCAGTCGTCTCCGTTTGAAAATGTCAATTTTCACAATGAAAAATTCCAATCGGAAATGTACCGGGCCGTAGGGAAGACCGATTGGACCGACTCGAATGGTTGAAGCCGGTTCACGAGACCAGTCGGTAATTTTCCCGGACGACCAGAAAAAGCTTGTGAAAACCGTCTGCAGAAAAAAAAAAACAAAAAAACAAAAAAAACAGTGGAAATGGGCGATATAAATCTCTTCGTCAGCCCCAGCACAGTACAAGATGATTGCAGCCAGTAAGAATTCTTGGTTAAAAATCGGGGCTTTTTTGTTTCGCCCCGAAGAAGACATAAATCTCAGGAAGCGTTCCCGACGAGGGCTTCATCCTTCCGTCGTCCATCGGTAGAGGCGAAGACCTCATCCTCCGAAGATTTGGGAGCCGAAGAGGATGACGCTGGGCTCGAGAGGGTGGCCCGTCCCTCCGTCCTCGACGACGAAGAGAGCGGGAGGAGGGAAAACCGGTCGGTGGGATGGAGGCCTCGAGCGACATTCGAACGGGGAACGGGTCGGATGTCGGAAACCTCTTTCGGTTAACGGTCCTTCGCGATGCGGGGGGAAAGGAGAGCCGCGTGGGGCTTTCAAAGGACCGGGCCCTTTCGTCGAGCCCGAGCGGGGTACGGGGATTCCGGGGGTAGTCACCTGCCCTTTCCGAGGATGGCGCTGATGGGTCTCGTGCCTTCCTGGGAAAAAAATTTGAGACATTTAGCCGTGAGTATCCAGATCGTATTGACCATTTTGGAGACTCTCTCCGCGAGAACGTTATGACGACCTCGTTCGGCCTTAGAAAATGTAAAGCGGGAAAGGGGTGATTTGATTCCCGTCTCGAATCAAAATGCGAGAAGACGAGATCGGCAATCGAATCTCTCGCGTGACCAGAAATCGTAAAGGACCAAATCCGTTCGGATCGCTTTTTTTTTTTTCCTCCTCGACCTCGGGTGAATTCCCGAGGGGGAAGGGATTCTCCAAGCCACGAAAACACGATCGGGGAAATCCTGGTATCTCGTCTCCGGATCCGACCGATTCCGGGCACTGCGAGGGCGAGAATCTTCAACAGATACCAAGTGGGGAAAAAAAAAAATCGTTTCATCAGTATCACCTCGCTCGTTCGAATACGGATGGCATCTTATGCGAATCGGCAGGGCAGAATGAACTCCACGTTCGTTCGACTCCACGAGATCGTCTCGATGGACCTCATCTGGGCCCACCACTCGGCAACGTCGGTCCTGGAGAAATTCCACCTGGCGAGAAGAATCACATCTCGAACGTACCATATGGTTTTCTTCGGAACCTTCCACTCCCGCATTTGGCGCCATTTGGCTTCGACGTGGTGCTTTGGCAGAGCCTTCGTGTCATCAAAGTGATGCCCCCCTGCCCCCCCTGCCCCCCTTGCCCATCGTTTGCTCCCCCCCCCCTTTTGTCGGTTTCTTGAAAAAATAGTCCCCCCCTCCCCCCCCCCCCCCCCGTCCCCATCTTTTGCCCCCCCCCCCCCCCCCTTCGTAATTTTCGGCCGATCCCCATTCGAATGACTTGCCCCTATCCCGACTGTCTATATCATCGGTATAAATACTTGGGATCGAGAGCTTTCATTCTTTGAGACTTCTCTTGCGGTAAAAGAACTCGTCAACGACAACAAGGATATCGTGGAGATTTGGAAAAATGCACGAAAGAGTATTTACGAGTCGGGAAATCGGAAGGCAGACGGAGGCTGACCACCGAGAGTTCCTCTCGCCCCTGGAATGGCATTCCGCAATAATAATAAACAAATGGAATATCGTTGGTAACCATCGAAACGGACAGACGATCGTAAAGCGACGGGAAACAGGAAGAGAGACTCGGCACGAAAGACGTAGAAACGAGAAATGACTCACGGCGCCTCCCGACGTCCCTCCCCCGGCGCCTCCCGACGTCCCTCCCCCGGTGTCTCCCGACGTCCCTCCCCCGGGGATACCGTTAGTCGTTAGCATTCCCATGCATGTGCAAAGGACGATGACGATCGGTGACCGTGGAATGCTTTCGTTCGCGATCCGTCTCTGAGGAGAACGGTGCAAGGCCCGACTCCATTCACGTCTGTAAGTGTCGAGTGACGTCTAAGAGGCGAAGCGCCCGAGGCACCCTTCGCTAAATATCTCAATCGTTTTCGGCTTTTAAAAAATGAACGGATGGAACTCCCAATCGACGACGTTCGGTTCTCGAGCCGGGTGCACTCCAAGTTTCGACGGCAGGCTCCCCGTAGACCCCGAAACGAAGAGATTTTCGGTTACCCGCTCTGGAGAGGACGTCAAGGGGTAGAACGGGTGACGTTCGTGACGTCACCGGCAGGGCTTCTTCCAGCCGTTCTCTCAGGAACGCGATGAGGTGATGGCGACGCTAAGATCCACCGATCGGGAACTACGATCGCGTGAGCTTCGGTACGACGTCGTCCGATTCGCTAGAGGCAGTCCTCCGTTGAATGGCGGATGATTCACTCCGTGCCGTGCTCGAGCTGAAGTTCGATTCGATCACACTCGGCCTGCCTGGACGAACGACGCAGCATCTTTGAGGAATTTCCGCTCCTTTCCGAGATCGAAGGACGAGTCTCGATGCTACCAGTGATAGCTTGCGAGGCATCACGCGTCCTCGGTATCTCTCCCTGTCTCTTGCTTTCGAGTCCAGTTAGAAGTCTCGAAACTCCTCGTGCAAACCATTGCAGTAGCTAGGTGGAATATGCATCAAATTCGGATATTTAGGGATTTGCGGGTCGGCTGGAATGCACAAGAGCTGTGTATGACGTAGAAAGGTCTGTGGATCTTGCTCACAAAATCTGAAACACTTAGCTAAAATGCCATTCCAAATTCTAATCCTTGATAGCCTAGTAATACGTTCACGTCTCCCTCTTCCCCCCAAAAAAACGGGTGTGTAGGCTGTTGATTGATGAAAATTTATTTGATGGTTCCTGCCTCAAATGCAGGGTAAAACACTCGCGTCTTCATTTGTAGAGAATCCCAAAATGTTGTCGTTTTTTATTCATTCTCTTCCTGCCATTTCCATGCCGGTCTGCGAATCGCTTTGTCCCGCAGACACTTGACCGAGGAGCATCTTTAAATTGAAGGAATCATGACTTCATTGATCATTTTAAAATTCTATTTTTTCAAGAAACCGACAAAAGGGGATACATCGTTGTGTTAATCTCCTTTCTGTTTATAAGGGAAAATATGTGGATGACAAGATATTGAAAGTAGAGCCAGAGTTTCAGTCGGTTTCAACTCAGTTCAGGAATTGACGCTGTCGAACAGAAAAACTTTATTTGAGGATTTATTCTGGAGTTTCAAATTTGTTAAAGATATGACAAAGAGGGAAACAAGGGTACAGGAATCGAAGGGGGGAAATTCCGGGTAGACCATCTCGACCGTCCTTTAAGGCGGACTGAGACAACAAACATCGAGGAATAAAGAATTCACACGTTGAGATGTTTATTCAGGTGTTCCAGGCATTAAATTGTTGGATAACGAAGCGGTCTCCTTTCGAACTGGTCTGGGATCTAGCGAATCGAGTTCATTTGCTTGGATAAATCCCAGAGAGGATCTCGGCCGGGGCTCAGCTGTCTGGGAGTACTATGAGAAGGAGCGGGTGTTCATACATTGGACTAAACGTCGACCAACCCGTATAGGAAAATGAGCAGTTTCGCTATTCCAGATCTGCTTGGATTCAAATCAGTTGAAGATACACCCCCATTCTGATGTATTTTCGGGACGGTGTGACGGAGGCAACCATTTCCAGAACACGATGCAGCAATCAGACAGGTTTAAAGCAGAATGATGCGAATGCAGCTCTGAACGAGGAAATCGAGGTACAAAAACTCAAATTGCCAAGCATATTCAAGCCAGGCATCTTTTGCAAATCGTCACAACGAGACTAAATAAAACAATTTGATTATAAATACCAAAAGTCTCCAGTCATAACTCTAGCTCTTTCCTCCGCTTCCTTCCATTCGGTACAAAAGTTGCCTGCGCTTGGCAAGGTCTCCATTTCAACACGCACTTGAATTTTGATTTTTTTTTTTAAATTGACCAATTCGTTACAATAAAAGCGTCATCGGCATTTCAAGACTCGGGAATGGAGGGAAATGGTAAAGCCAAATTTTTATCGTGCGATTCCTTCTTTTGCCCTGGAAAGGGTTAATAAAACCGGATTCACCGACCGGAGTGTGAAGAGGACGAACCGAACCCGCGTCGAATGAAACCCAAGACTGCCACGAGGTAGAATGTTCTCTTTATTTTCTCGACCGTAACGGAAGAGGGATCGATCCAAGTGCAACCGGAAAAAAAGGAACATCGGCATCGTCCTCGGCATCAACTTATCACAGGGGGAAAGAGAAACGAACACCTCTGTCCGACGTACATTCGTCTGGGAAGGACTTGCGGCACGATCGCACGCACGAATCGGATGGAGACGGAGAAAATTCACCACATCGACGAGGGAATACGAAAAAAAAAATCATCTATATGGCAACACGAACATGCAAAAATGATGACTAGAATGGCGAATCCGAACGATGCACGAAGGTGAAGATGCGAAACGCGAGACGCTTCCTGCCGAAAGTCGAGGGGAGAAACATCAGATCTCATGCGCTTCTATCGCGAGTGGAAGCAAAAGACGATATTGCACTCGATCCGCTCGAGCACTAACGAACGCAAGAGCCCTCGGCGGGATCCGAGGCGAGAATCCGCTACAGGGGCCTAGCTAGATTCTACACGAGAAAGCAACGCAAAGCCTAGCAGGCTGGCTTCATAAATGCAACAGGGGTATGTCTTCGTCATATGTTTCGAGAAAGCATCACGATATGAGAGATACAGGCGGGGAAGTGCGGGAATGGAACCTTTTCTGCTCGACGAGGTATTCGGATCCCATCCGAAGACGACATCCTGCCGACTCCTCGATGGGGATCGTCGATCGAGAGTGCTTCGTTTCGGTCAGGTGATGCTAGGAGAATGGGTCCGTTCGCGAGCGCATCGGAGATGCGACGCGTCTCCGTTCCTCTTCTTTCCATTCCCCTGCACCTCCTCGACCTCAAGCAACGGATTCCTTCAACCCGTCGATGTAATCGACGAGCTGCTCCTTCGACATCCCGTTCGTGAAAGATTTGAAGGTGAGCGTCCCGTTGGGACGCGGATAGCTGGGCATGGGATAGGAACGACCCGAGTCGGAATCGATCGTGGGTCGCGGCAGCCCGTCGTGCGGTACGCCCGGCTTCCGAAACGTCCCGCCCGGAGACGGAAATGCCGACGGATCCGGAAGGTCGTCCAGGAGAGGGGATCCGGAACGAGCGTCCGCGTTCATCATCTGGGCGACGGGGACGCGTCTGGCGTGCTGAACGTACGGCTCCGGCAGGACCTTCACTCCGTGGCGGTTCATGGTCGTGTTGGTGGCGGCATCCATGACCCGATGGGGAGGAACCGGGGGAGGAACGCTCGGGTCGCTCGACGGGAGGGGCGGGAGGACAGGAACCCGGGTGCGTCTCAGGTGACCGGAACGAGGGAGTTCGTGGTAGGAGGGGTTCTGTTCCGCGTGGAGAGGATTCGACAGGACGTTCACCGAGCGAGGCGGGTCATCCATGTAGGTCGCGTTGGTCGCAGAGGAAGCGGACCAGGAGGAGCAGGTGTGGGAGTGGTCGATGGGGGGAGGCGGAGGGAGGGGATTGGGGGTGATGCGGGGATGGTGGCCGCTGCGGGGGATGCTCCCCAGCTGGGACATCCCGGAGGTGCTGCTTCGGTCGAACGTGGAACGCCCGAGGTACACCCAGTCGTGGGGGCTCGTCATCTGCGAGAACGAAGGAAGGAAATTCCGTTCAAAATCCTCCCGCGTTCCACGGGCAACTCGGAGTTGCAACACGCAACCGAAGCAAGCTAAATTTCTCGATGGATTTTCGTCTAGAAGGAACTAACGGGCCAGTAGCCTTCTGGGGGGTACCTACATCCATCTCTGATAGCGTCCATCTACTACAGGGATGTCAAACTCAAATCGGTCGGAGGGCCCCATTCCCTACCCTGCAGATGCCTGCGGGCCGCATCCATAATTTTCCACTGAAATTTGTGGTGACAGTCTATCCAAGCAGAAATTTCTAAAACACACGGCGGGTCGGATGAACCACCTCCGTGGGCCGGATCCGGCCCGCGGGCCGTATGTTTGACACCCCTGATCTACTATATTTGGCGCTTTACACATTCCTTCTTTTTTTTTTTCTTTTTTTTCTGCACTTGAACCTCAGGTTCTCCTATCTCCAGTGCACTCCTCATCACCTCTTGGTCATTAACCGGTACACTCTTAATCGTCTCTTGATCATTAATCAATGACATTTAGTCATTGGTTAATGATCAAGAGACGATTAAGGAGCAAGGGACACTAGACATCGTTTCCAGACTCTCAACAGAAGCAATAGCTTATGAATCCGACTCCCTGTTTAGAAAATGCAATCGCTTTATTGTTTTACATTTTCCCTAGGATAAATTTGTCACATATGCATAGGTGCGGTTATTGTTGCCAAGAAAGTGGCTTAAATTCAGCGATACTTAGAGGGATAAATCTTCATCACAGTGGGAGTTGGATGTAACTCATCGCCCATTCTCTGTGTAACTTTAACAGGACTCACTGAAATCAGTGATATTTCCACAGAGAAACTTCACTTCTTCGTTACTTGCTCACTTCATTTCATAAATGGACTTTTGACAAATAAAAACCTCGTACCGTCAAAGTCCAACTCTAAATGTCGGGACGCTTCATCGAACTGAAGCCATTATCGAATGAATTTCCTTACTAAATCTTCTCAGAGAAAAAGCACCTACTCGAGAAAAAAAAGAAGCAACTCGTCACGATCGCAACATGCGAGAGGAAGCCGAGACAGACCTGCTGCTGGTGTCCGGCGGGGTTGAGGGCCACCGTCTCCTCGTGGGAATGCGGGGGAAGCTTCCTCTTGAAGCGCGACGCGTACACGATGCACGCGGCCACGAACACGAGGATGGCGAGGACGAAGACGGCCAGGAGGACGTACATCCCCACCTCCAGGGTGGTCACGGACCCGATCCCGCCGTGGCCGTGGTTCCCGCTCGGCACGATCTGCGGCTCGCCGGATCCGGTAGGATTCAGCTTGAAGATCGGCTCGATCAACCAGGTCTTCTTCCCTTCGTCCGGCTTGTTCGGAACCATCGTTCCTCGAACTGCGGGTACACGACGAGGAAGAATCTCAACTTACAACAGCAGAGACTGCCGAATAACAACCTAGAATTCCTCAATTTTTAGGGCAAAATGGTCTGTTCTCGGATGGATTGCATGCCAACACTTCTACGATCCTAAACCTTATGTGCCATTCAAGGAGATGCAAAACGACTCAAGTACATACTTTGAATCCATTCTAAGGAATTACGGTGAATTCCATCGATAAGATAAGAAGCAACGAAGTACCACTCCAGAAGGAGTTCGAATTCTCTCCAGAGGCTTTACCTCAAATTTTCATAACGCTCATCAAATCCTCTATTTAAAAAAAAATCGTACTTCCATTCTGTTTCTTGAGTGATTTATCGGTATGCTATCCAATGACTCTCGAAGAACCAAAAAGCACGAAACGAGCATCAGGAGGCATTTGTGCCACGGGCGAGACACGGAGACAGAAGCAGACACCAACCCGGGTTGCGCTGTTCGTCTTTGAGCCCAGAATCATTCTGGATGATGTCTCCATCGTTGCCCTGGATCTGACTTCGGACTGCAACGAGCGCGGAGACGAGGACGGGTCCGGCCCCCTCCTTCCCTCGCTTCTGGCACTTCTCCCCCATGCGCAGGGACACCTTGAGGAGCTTCCCCGACCCCGACCCCACGGCGATGACCCGCGGGTGGGTGTGCGTCACCGAGGGCGCATACGCCACGACCGATGGAGCCAGGGTTTCCACGTCCAGAGAGTAATCGTCTGGATCCACCTCCTCGATGGGGAGGGTCGTTCCGTCCGAGAATCGCAAGCGGATGTCCAAAAGTCCCTCCTGCGGTAACGATAACGATACGGTTAATTAAAAATTTAATAATTCAATAAAAAATGTATATCAAACTTTCATGGGCGTTGACTTAAAAGAAAGACTCGATTAACCTATGGTGGAACCTTGTGGCTATGGGGTAAAATGTGTGAAAAAATTTTAGCAACCGTACAGTATATCATATTGAAAGATGAATAATTGTCATTCACGACTGCAGATGCGATATGGAACTCGTTTGGTTTCATACCAGAACCCGCATTGATATCTAGAATCAAGTCCTCGGTCTTTCCGTAAGCACTCTATCACTCTATCAATACCAGCCGATGAGGAAACAGGCGGCATACCATACATGACAAACCATGATGGATATCTCATGATTCTCGCAGCTTTCTAAGCACACCTACCTCATTCTTACTTGCGATTCGGTGAAGAATACATGGGAAAATGCTCACAAGCAGGGTGTAATTAGGTGTTCTTCATCGCTCCCTTTCATGGGTGCAATATTCCGCAATTCATCACATTTAAGTACAAACATGTCAACTATAATTAACAACCTTTCAGTATCCTGTCAATATTTTTCCCAAGGGCATATACGTTGCAAGTATTACCTTCATTTTTTGTACAAGATGATGAGACTGCATGCTTCTCTTGCAATTTGTAAAAATAATGTTCCATCCATTTTTGGCAGTCTGTAATTGATGCTCACATATCCTCATATAAAAGGCCTGACCAATCAATAATGAGTTAATAAAATCTATATAGCAACAATGAGGGAGAACGGTACACCAAAAAAATTCCAAACACATTATGCTTAAGATTAATTTCCAGGTTCAATAGTGGAGTTTTCCAAGTCCACAATTCTAACAATGACTTGCTTCATCGTCCAAGTGGAGCATCGAAGAGGAAAGGGACCCTCTAAGATCGTATATTCTGTAAGAATTGAAAAGATACACCAAAAGAGCTACAGAAAAAGTTTTACAACTATGCCAGGTTGCACAACGTCATATAAAAAATTGTCAATTGTAATGTTTCGGTCCACGTGGCAAGAGAATACAACAGTGCAGGGTACCCTGCGCTTTCATTTCGAGGACATATGACTAAGAATCCTGAAGGTCCCTGGAATTCTCTCGACTCGAGAAGCAAAACAGACCGGTCCTAACTCTGGAATTGCTCTGAACGAATGAGGACGATAAAAGGAAGCAGGAGAGAGGCGCGACCTGGTATTTGGCCGTGAGGGTCCGCTCGACCAAGGTGTCCACCAGGTGCCCGTTCTCCAGCTTCGGGTCCGCTCTGATGTCCAGGTTGAGTCCGGTGACTATGGATGCGTCCAGGCCCTCGATGGACACCTTCTCCTTGCCGATCCGGATCTCCGTGGAGCCCAAGACTTTCCCCGTCGTCATCGGGCTCATCACCTGCATCAGAAATGGGGATGCGATTTGCCGTTTTGCAACTTCATTTTTTTCACATATCACATTTTCTCGCATTACTCGGTCTGACCCTGTTCCAACAGCAAAGACCATAGATTGATTTCATTAATACTTGTTCTGATCACTATGCTGTTACTTTAGGGTCATTCCACGTCAACTCAATCATCATGGTCACTTCTGATAACTTTAAAATTGGCAGGAAGTAAGATATGATGGCTCCAAGCATGGACATCGAATCGCATTGAAATAGGATGAGAATGGCAAAAATATTCTATAGACTCTCTAAAGAAAAAATCCTATAAGGTCGAATTTAATTCTATGATTTCTCCCTGTAGAATTCTATTAAATCACTGTATGGAAATTCTATGGAGAATCTATAGAAATCCTACCAAGAATCTTACCAAATTTTTAGAGAATTCTACAAAGACAATGTAAAGAAATTCTACAGAATTCCTATCTATAGGGCTGTATGAATTTCTTTTGTGTCACTGTCTAGAAAGTGTACAGAATTTATATTGAATTTCATGAGTGTAGTCAGCGTATATAAAATCTATTGAAATCCGATCAAATTTATTTGAAAATAAGTAGATGCAAATAGGGTTCCCAAAGGAAAAGATAAAGAATGAAAAGTAGCCTTTTTTCTTTGACTTCAGCTCGTACTAAGGTCATCTATAATGTTATAGAATGTGAAAAGCCTTTTAGAAGGCTCGTATCCGATTAATTTATTATGAACTTGAGATAGCATTGGAGGTGGAGCATTGGAGGTGGAGGGATATGGCACAGGTCGTAGTTGTGAATTGCTGGAAATCCTCATGGGGCTCGAAGAGTCGTTCCATCCTGAGCGGTGCAATTTTAAGAACTACGCCGAATGGGATTAGGCTGTAAAATAAAAATGAACTTTAGAATACGAGAAACCGGACGAACCAAAAGGTCTCTATCTGGCCTCCCATCTGGGAGGCCAGAGCCTCGAGCCTTCCCCTTCCTCACAGGCGATGGATAAGGGACATCGCATAGTGCACGCAATACAGAAGTATACGTACGATAGCAGGGAGGTCGGCTTCACCGGTTGCATCGCGCACGAAAGGGTGACTGCTAATAAATACATGGTCTTGTCTTCAGGTTCATTTGCCGAAATTAGAAAGCTGCTTGGTCATCCTGATCCGCATTGCCAATATATATCTATGCAGTTCCCACGAATAAAAAAGACAGAAGATATATAGTCTTCGTGATCATTACACAGATGAGTTAGATGAGTTTTTTTTTTGTAGAAGTCCCGAAACTCGCAAGAGGTGTAAGTCGTGGGACCGATAGTTTTTTCCTCGGACCGGATGGACCTCTACTCTTCGATTTCCGCTCTCCTTTTACATGTTTTCGATTCAATATAAACTGCCAACACGGAACGTTCAGCCTTTAATTGCGACTACCTGCCACTCGAAGCAGTGCAGACGACAAGAACGACCTAAACACACCTTTCGTGCTCCCATCGTTACAACAATGATCTCTTGTTCATTGTGATGGCGTGCTGGCCACCCCAGATTTTCGTCCACTCGCCGCCACTGTTTACCCACGTGATGGTATCCCTCCAGCAGGCGCGGTTTTTAGCCCCTTTATCTTACTATACCGATCTGTATAGAGTCCTACCCAGATGTAATGAGTTGTTTATTGAATTCTATAAAACTACATTGAAAACTCTATAGTCTATAGGTCTCTCTACAACATTTTTGCCTGGGGAGAGAAGACAAAGTTGTTAGTTTTGGCACCACTGTACACCTTATGCTAATGCATAACATATGCAATAAGTTCGATCCACAATGAGCTAAGGAAATGTTCAATATCTAATTTCTTGTTCTTTCTAATGCCATCAAAATCAAAACTATATTAATTACTTTAAAAAATATTAAAATGTCCTATTGGTGAGCACCGCCCACTGGATGCGAAAGGCCAAGGTGCCAACTCAATCAAGTCAAAACTTTGAAACAATATAGTTCATGAGTCCCCCTGCTATAGTACAGAATGACATATTTGGTTCTTCCCATTTACATTAGTTGCAGGTAAATAAAGAGAAAACTTACCAATAATATACAGACGATCGTGACAGACACGAATTCTAAGTATCTTCCAGATATCGTAGAAAGCTTAAATTTGGTACACAATAATTTATTTGGATGCAGGTTTCAGGAAAAAAATCTTCATTTTGAGATCATCCTCTAGGGACACGTGTTTAGGGGGAAGAGACATTTTCCCGAAATAACTTCGTTCCGGTGAAACAGCTGCTACAGTTACCCTACAAACATACGTATCACGGAAACCATACCAAAAGATTTTCCACGTCAAAAAAGGTAGATAAGTATAGCAGGAGAAAGCAGGCTTATAGGAGTACCAGTAACTTCTTTCAGAAAAAGGAACTTAAGACGAATCGTTCATGACGTCAGAAAGAAGGAGTTAAAGGCTATTCTAGAAAGTGTTTAAAAAAAATAATTTAGTCACAACAGGAAGAGCGAAGTTTTCACAGGAACGAGGACCAAAATTATTAGGATCCACATTTCAACACCTGAAAAATGGCATTTTCCCGGAACTGGAAAACCTTTCTTCGTCTCTGGACGCAAAGCGAGGTGAAAGAAGACTGCCACGTGGCACATAAGTCTCTGTACCTGGATGTTGGTTGTGCCCGACTGAAGCCCGGTGATGGTGGACCCGTCGAGGGAGGCGATCTGGTTGTCGGTGAGCATGAGCTGCCCCGTCACCAGGTCGGTCACGTCCAGCAGGGTCTGACGGGACAGGAAATACGTCTCTCGACCCGAGTTCTGATCCGAAGCCTTGAACTGGGCATAAACCTGGAAACGAGTGCGTCGATGAGTTATCATCGTTCGCCTGCGATGCGGACAGAAATGAAGAAATCTGTGCATAACTTTGTCTAACAGCAAATGATTAATTCCCAAGCTCCAAAATATGAATCGACGAAGAGCAATCTTAAACATTGCCCAATAACTTAGCAGGAAAGCTGACAAAACCGGTAGAGCATCAAACATGTAAATAACGGCAAGCAGCGGCGTAGCGTCGGGGGGCCGGGTCACGTGCCCCCCCCCCCCCACCACTTCTTCCATTGCTTCACTTATGACTGCAAGGGTTCAATTTACGAGAGGATCACCCTAACCTATCGGCTACAATATATTCAAAAGTAACATCCTGATTATGATTGATTCCTAAATCCTGTATACCTTCCTTTTTTGGCATCAGATGTCAACACTCTACAATCACCGACTCATCACGGTACATCAGTACCATGCACGAAAGGAATATCATCACGCAAGTCTTTTCACGGCCGTCCGAAAAAAAAAAAGATTTCACCTCTAACGGTCCCCATAGAATACGATTTCGTGCACCGGTACTCGCAGCGTCACGGAGAGTCCCTCTCCCGTCCGCAGCCATAGGACAGGCCATCGAACGATGAAAAATGTTTTCGTGGAGCATACCCTGACGGAGGCCTGCTGATATCGCAGCTGGCACCGGACCCGATCCTCCTCGTCTTCGTCCCCGTTCCCGGGACGAGCGTCTCCCAGAACCCGATTCGACAGCAGATCTTCCGTTTCCTTTTCCCCCAAGCCTCCTTTCTTTTTCTCCGTCTTCTTCTGCTTCTTCTTCCTATCCCTGCAAAAGAGGAATTCCTCAATGCCTGCAACCTGCATCGAACCCCGGACCGACCAAAGGGCCCTCGAAAAAGATACCATCTCAGAAAAGTCTACCGGAGTCGATGGGAAAGCGACGAAACGGATTACCTCTTGGCGAGGACAGGTGCACGCCAGGACTTGACGACGGAGAGCCTGGGATCCGACGGCAGCAGCACGAGGGGCAGTTGGGGGCTCCAGACGCGGAAGCGCCCGTAGCCCTCGTAGGTGCCGTACGTGACCCGGATCGTCGCGTTCTCGCTTCCACCCGCCTCGCTCCCGTCCACGTACACCGAGGTGCAGGATGACGAAACCTGCAACGTTACGAACACGGCATCGATGCATCGCTCGCACGGACGAGTTACGACAAGGGACTTCCGAACGTTTCTCGCCCGTCGGTCGGATGGAGAAAACGCTTCGTGACGTCGGCAGAAAGGGCGAACTAGATTCTTTTCGCATCCTTTACAACTACAGGTTAACTTAAAAGGATGTAACATCAAAAGCCAAGTTTTTCAGTCGTGAACAAAAATTAGAGAAGAAATAGCTTAAGCTGCAGTTATTTCATCGCCAATCGTGGTCGACCTGGAGTATTTAACCTTTTGAGGTGAGTTTCGGCATATTACTGGTATTCGTTTTCTTTTACGAGCGGATACTACGTATCATTCAGAATACGAGGCAATAAGAAGAAGCATATTATTGGTGAATGTTGCAAAAATGAAGTCCGGATCGGACAATGATTTCCCCCTTAGCAAAAAGCCCCCGGCGGAAAAGGCGTCTAATTCGTACGGGCAATCCCTAGAGTTATAATTCTCTTTGGTTGCCTTTCGCATGCATATTCCCAAGACACGGTCTTGTTCTCTTCAAAGCATGGCGTTACACGGAGTCCACCATCACAGTTCTAACCCACGAATGATTTTTCTTGGTTGCTGGCACGACCGACAGTAAGAGCCGCTCTGCCAGGAGCAGGGGGGTTCTCACGCCCCACCTTAAGGTACGGGGCGCACCGTCGCATCGTGAAATTTAAAGCCGTAAATATAAGGACGTCCCAACGGGGGTGTGGATGTTCAGCAACATACTGTATGGATGTACTCCTGACAAAACGCCACGATTGGTCATCGCCGTTTTCGCGCCGTAACGAGGGTGGCCCTATATCGAATCATTCATATCCCATATCATATAGGCCTACGGGGATCTGCGTCCACGAGATAAGGTTGGCGATAAACGCGGGTGGAGTTATAGGGAGTGGCGGTATAACGAGAGTTGACTACCTCTGAAAGGGTCATTGCCAGATGAAATCACGTCACTGGGAGGAAAGTAGAGAGGAATTTAAAAACATTCAGCGTCGTACATCTACCAGAGGTCGTCTCTCATACTAAACGGAAAATTCAAAGGCATTCACACAAAAGCCATGACGTCTGAGCCATACCCCGAGTGGAACGTCGGTTATATTTGCAATCACTTGTGGTCGTACAGTTTTTCCTTTAACGTTTGAAACGTGCTTCCAACTGTTCTCCCATGTTTTTTTTAAATTTTTTTTTTCGCGAGCAAAGGAGCATCGGCCCTTCGGAAAGTAGGCATTTATATGCCTGCTTGGCGCTCGGAGTGTTAATGCAAAGAGGATCCTCGAGAATTATGGTAAATACGCCGAGGAGAGAGAAAAATGACTCCAGTATATAACAGAAAAGAGAGGCAAAAAAATGAGAGAAGAGCTCAAGGGGGAAAGATCATAAGGGGAGGAGGCGAAGGGGCAGGCAGGGGGGAAAGCCATAAATCCCTGGAACCAGACAGAGCAGGGAGAACTAGCGTGGGGGGATATCCATATATCCATTTACTGAGAGAATTTAATGGAGTGTGGCTGAGCATATAATAGGTGGAAGAGCCAGAAATAGGAAATGGACTCCACAAGTCTCCCTCTTACGACCTTCCCTCTCCAAAACATTAAGACGTAAAAATCCCGGTCGTACATCAACGGGCTGGTATCGATCGCGTCATTAAAAACGTATCTCCTATCGATCCATCGGCGAGAGTCGACGGGCCTCGAAACGAGAGCAAGGATATACAGAGACTGAGACGTAGAGAAGGTCGATAGCCTTGTTCTTCGTTGCCATGGCAACCGGTGGTGTCCGATGGGAGAGACCCCCTGGCTCTCTTTACTTTGCCGAGCGAATTTTCCCTCCTTCCTTGATTCCTATTCTTTCCCCCTTTTCTTGACTCCCTTTCTTCCCCTTGTTCGGGGAACGAGATGAAGCGTGGACGGGAATGAGAAATTCCGCCCTTTCGATGTAACGAGCTCTTCCTCCCGCCCTTTCAGTCCGCCTCTTTTCATCTCCCTCTCGGAAGCACCTCCCATCATTCGATGAGAGATAGCACGATACCGAAAGTCGAACCCACAGCCGCGTCAAGCGCAATTACCTCTGCTAAAGTAATGCTTAGTTTATGAAATATATAAATTTTCCGCAAGTTTCGCTCGACAAACGATTAAAATTGACAATTAAAAATAAATGGAACGAAAATAATCACTCGACCGTATGAAAATCCACAGGCTTTCATTTAGCTCTAAGAGTTAGTAAGAGTTCACGAGAAGAAGGAAAAGCTGACCTTGAGGTGACTGTCGTTGGGAGAGGAGCAGGAGGACTGGAGGGTGACGTCGGCCACCTTCCCGGCCTGGGACACCAGGTACACCTTCATCGGCATGGACACCTGCCTTCCGGTCAGCACGCCCACGTTCACCAATTCCCAACTCTGCGGGGTGTGCATGCGTCGACGTTAAAACTCTCTTTTTTTCCAAAATTTAAAACAGTAATTATTCAAATATATAATTGCATTGTTTATATAACGGATTTTCCAAAACTTCGTATCGAAACATTAGCAATCAACCAATCAACCATTAACAGAGAATTATCAAAAGAATGACGCACGGCATTAATTACGACTGATTCGGAGATCGATAGCAATCGACAAAATTAACTCATCGTTCCACTATCTTTCAACGATGAATCGATTCACGGATGTCGACATCTTGTGGGGAGTCCGAAGAGGATAAAACCCACTTAACTCTTTCGCACCCAAGCTCTTCATGTGAAGTACTAGCAATTTGAAATTACCGGCACGAGATGCCGTTATTGTCATGACGTGCTCAAGCTTACTACCACCTCCTGGCATCCTTTTACTTCGAAAGACATCACTTGAAGGCAGATGAAATCGTATCCAAGACTGAATTATTTCTCATGCATTCTATCAGCCTGTGTTTGTTTCATTCGAAAGCGTCGCATTGGCATAGCAGCGAGGAATAGTACCTCACTCTAATGCACGTCCTGTAATGAAACTCTGTGCATAGAAAAGTGTTTTGAGGTATACCACACAAGGGCAAACCACAGAATCAGAGAAGTAAGGAATAGTCAATTGAGAACCTCTCACGCGAATAACTTAAATTCCGTGTCTTGCCTTTTTCAGCTCGATTTTCGCTTGCATGTTTCATTTTCATTCTATCAAGTTGTCATTGTTGATAAAACATTTTGAATCTATTACTTTTGAGGGGGAAATTAAGTAATGTATAGTACTGTGATATTTACAGTGATTTTTGCGAATTTCTTGAAGAAGTATTAATTATAAAAAAAAACCTGGGATATGGGGGCTGCAGAAGCAAAAATCGCTGGGCACGAAAGTATGAAACGAAGTATCAAATCACTTGAAAGTCTACATAGGCACATATATAACGTAATTTTAAATGGTGCCATTACACCACTCCGCTACATGCAACCTAAAATAAAGTCACTACGATCACTTGATACTTTTTTCGGACATCTGTAAGAAGGGGCACGCATGAGGTCCGGAGGAGAGCCGACCGAACGAATGCTAATGCAACTCTGTTTCGTGAAGCCTCGTTCGGAAGAGAGAGAGAGAGAGAGAGAGAAAAACGATGGGAACGCGCACGTACCCGAGCGATAGGAAGAAGGATCTGGACGTCGTCCTTCTGCAGGGAGAGCTGAGCAATGAATCTCCGCTTCCCCAACCCGTCCTGGGAGTCCGCGTCAGCGTCCGCTAAGCCGGGACCTCCGCCGCCGTCAGCCGGATCGGGGCCGTCGCCCGCGTCCGCCACCGTCCCGGGATCGGGACCGGAATGATACGTGACGCTCCACACCATCCTTCCCGTGTCGCCGTCTCCGTCCTCGTCCTCTCCTCGGGCTTCCACCAACCATGCGAACACCTCGTGCACCCTGCAACCAGATCCGCAAGACGTCCATCGATCTCGCTCGTAATTACCGATCGGCAACCTTGCCAACACCACCGGTGGCAGCCCGACCGGGCTCGAACGTTCGCATTCCAAGACAAAGTCGCACCGAGACGATCCGAGCACCTTCCTTCGAAAATCGTCCCGTGCTCCCAACCTCCATCGAGGGTCGTGTTTTCACGCAGTTGTGCGAGCAAGAGATAAGAGCGAAGGCACGTGCCCCCTCTCTTCCACTTTTGAACGTGAGAGCCCCATCCCCACTCTCATTCCACGTAGAATGCCGTGAGTATCCCACCCAAACTTTCTCCAACATCGCCCTTATACTGGCGATTTAAAAAAGAATTAAGCAAATAGAAGGCGAAAATTTTTCCTGCAGAACATATTTTCCAGAAAACATTCTGTGGATGATAAGACGAAGGGCTCAGAGCCAAGAGAGAACGCACGGCCACAACCACTTCCTAAGGCCTACCCCAAGATGGAATCACCTTCCACGTATGAATGAGTCACGGTCAGAATGAATGGAAGGAGGAAAATTTTTCCTCCCCCTCCCTCCCGACCTTATTTTGGAGGTTCCGTTCGCACGCCCATCATCACTCACGCAGGATTTCCCTCATGAAAATTGAAAACTTGAGGCGTTCGGAACGAAAAGAGAAAACTGCAGGAATCTCTGCGCGAAAATGTCAGGCCACACGGCCCCTAGTCACGCACAGATGAAACTTCCCAAGGTTCAGTTCCTGGGCGTGTTACCCCGTGAAATCCATTATCATCACTATCGCGATAATTACTAGGATGACCCAGATGGCTTTTGTTATCGTCTCGGATCGACTCGCCTTTTCTTCCGGTCGACGCCGACACCAATAGTAAGCGAGAAAGAGGTCATCGGTGTCGGAGTCGTCCGACTCGAACGAATCAAACTTTAAAATCATGCTTCAAGAAATACCTACAGGAAAGAAAGCCTGGAGGAGTCTTATCGGGAACCCGATCTGACTGTCAAGGTGTGACTAATTGCGTTTCCAGGACGGGGGGACAATGAACAACTTTTCCGCCTTACTGTTCTACGCGAAGAATTGGATTCGTCACTGCCCTCGTCGAATGGGAGAAAGAGAAGAACCAGTTTGCCCCACCCTTACAAAAGCTATTTTTCCTCATGAGGCTCAAGCCATAGATGTTCCAGAAGGACGTTAATATTAACTTCCCGGGATCATCTTTGGGACGTTAGAACCATCTCGCCGACTCCAATGGGAAAAAAGAGGGTTGGATATCGATCCAGAATTCACCACGAAGGCGGAAAAAAAAAGGCGACACGACGTATAAATATTTCAAGAACGGCGAACGCGGAAATGAAAAAGCTCTCGACGAACCCTCGACGAAGAGATTCCTGGGGCGAGACGTCGAACCGACGCTGGGCGTGGGCCAGTCCCACGGTCCCCTTCGGGTGGATCTCCATGCTCACGTTCCAATGCTCCGGGTTCATTCCTCCTCCTCCGAGCACCTTCAAGCCGCTCTTCACTCGAACCCTGTCACGTACCGAAAACGTTTCAATTATTCTCTTTCGTCTGGCAGACGGATTCGTCTGGAATCACGAGCAGGTTGGGGGCCCGAGGCCCAGACCGCACTTCATCGATGATGCGCGGCACATCTCCATTCATTTTTTGACCCACTAACATTCGCGTTCCCGAGTTCCCATTCATCCACTCGAACAAATGCCGTGGGGGCACGAAGTCGTAAAATAACCGAGACGGCAAGTATGTACTAATCGCTAGGCCAGTACTTGCGTGCTCGAGTGTCTACGACGATGAATACGAACGAAAACGATTTTGCATGCCTCCACGAGGACTGCTTAATCATCGCCCCGGTAATCGATGGCCGACCGAGGTCACGAGAAAGACGAGGCCTGTGTGTTTACTCGTTCCAACCCGAAATCTTCGATCAGCCTCATTGTGTCGTCACCGAGTCATCTTTACCCAAGTCTCAGAGCTATTCGTCGAACGTCAGGTGATTACCGGCGGCCCGTATCTCGACTCTCACGACTCAAACAATCCCTTCTTTACACCTGGCATCGTTTCAGACGCCTCGTGGAAAGCGCTTTGTGCCATAGTAAAATGGTTCTTACACCCTAACGAGTCGATGCCGTCACTCTGGAGTGGCATCCCCTTCAAAGCCTTAACGTCACCCTGCCGAGAAATTCCTGGCCGAGAGATCCAGCTTCGAGAAAGCGCCTTCACGAAGAGAAGACGGTTGCGATACTTGGCGCCGAGTCCCTTGCCTAACGAGCGTGAATGTGCGGATGGTATCTATACTCCCATCAGAGACATCTATTGTGGGTCGAGTGAAGCTCTCCGGGTAAAAGTTCCTCCCTTGCTCTCCTGTTCGGTTCATGACGGAGAAATCGCCCAGGCCAGCGCATACTATCCTTCACTCACGGCTGGCCTGTAGGTGATTCTTTGGTTAGACATGGAGATAATTCACAGAATGTCGTCAAACCCGAGGTCCATATCGGGTCCGTGAGCGCGTAGATCATCCCTAAGCATGATTAACTTACTCGGAGAAAGACATATCTCGTGCACTACTGGTACAGTTCGTGAGAGCACAATAAGGGCGTATAGAAGGGAAACGGAGACGATTCCCCTAATCGTTACGAGTGGGCTCACATCCCTCTGCTCCCAGAAAGGATGAAATTGGACTCCCTTGGCCCATTTTCTTTTCTTCTCGAAAAGGGAATATCCGAAAAACAAGAAGTGAAAGTTGCCAGACATGCGTGTCTCCACCCGTGAATAATCTCATGCCACACCACCCCATATTCGAGATGTTTTTTTTCCATTTCGTCGAACACGGAGGGATATGATGGCGGAGAGGGAGTGAGGAAATCACATCGGGTGTACTTCCAGGTGTCTCCAAACAAGACGAACGAGAATGGAGATATACAGAGCCAATATTGACAGAAGCCTATCTTTCCCCATCGATCCCTGAAAACCGTGCCTAAATTGGGTCCCGAGGGGATAACTCGCAAGGGATTCGCACTCTTCCATCTTCTTAATGGTTCCGAGAGAAAGTCATTACTCCCCACCTAATTGGCCCTAATTATCCCCGCTCCACTCCCAGAGATTGATTCGCATGAGATTAAAGAAGAGGCAGTCCGTGTGTGAGGTAAGGTCAGAGAGACGAGGAAAAGCGGAGGCCATGCCATAAGGAGATAATGGGTCCCGAGGGAACATTTGTCTTTCCGTGAGAGGAGCGAGACGAGGGCACCGCCATAAAATACCCCCACATGCCCCGATGAGAAAATACGCACGCAACGGGATGTAAAGCCTCTTTACGACCGCAGTACTTGGTACGGACACGGACAAAAGTACTCGGCACGTCGAAGTACCACGTCTTCGACGACGCCATGCGCTCCAGGGCGATTTGTCTCACGACGTTTCCCGTCCCTTCCCGGAAGAAAGGAAGGCATGCACACAAGTCATGGAGATGGTGATCGGTCTCTGTCATCTGGGATGCATAGGCAGACACACACACCCCGCCACTTGGGCCTAGCTCTATTCTCATCCACGCTTGTGCATATCCAAACAGATTCCATTTCAAAGAGCCTCTTTCCGACCGGATCGAGTTCCGGGGCTCCGATCCGGTTTCCTTCGGTTCTTTCGAGAACAATAAGTTTCATCAGCACACACAGGCTTGCATTTCATCCCCCCACGGCAGGGAGTTCTTTTCGTGGTGAAGGTAAAGTGCTCTAGACTGATGGTTTTCTTCTCGATTGCTTCAGAAGTGAAGGATAAATAAAGATGCATGGGAAGGAATATGCTTGCCGGTGATTGCGAATCGTCCAGTGTCTTCCCGTGGTAAATACGATTCACCGTTACTTGCAGATTGGAATAGTAAGGAACATTGACAGGCTTTAAGTCGCTGTCACACGAGATAGAAAATAATAAATAAATCAGATATGGAAAAAAAATCTTTAAACATGTGGGCAGATAAAATTTAGATGCGAGGCATGAATGAATGAAAGAGTGAATGAAAGCCGGTGTCTGACCTGACAGTGAAGGAGTTGAGAGGCGGGCTGGAGCCGGGGGTGACGAGGACAGGGATGTAGACGCGTGACTTGGGATAGAGACTCGTGGAGGGCATGAGGAGTCTCAAGATTTCGTCCTCGGTCACCTCCTCCACCTTCCCCTTCCAGGGGAGGAGGATGACGTCATCCAGGTAGGTCAGAGGCTGGACGACGACGCGAGGCATCAACTTCTCGCATCCGGTGTGGGGGGATTCGTAGACGGAGTACCAGACCCGGATGGGGCTCTTCCACGGTTTCTCGTTCCCGCCCGACGTTCCTTTCTCCGTCTCCGGGGGCCACCAATACGGGGGCAAGGTGAGTTCGCCCAGGCAGGTCCCCGTCTGGACGTCTGGCGTACACGTGGCCGCGAGGGGGATCGATTTGCTCTCCTCCTTCGGGGCAGCCATGAGATTCACGCACAGCTTCTCCACCCAGGGGCTTCTCTGCTTCTCCAGACTCATCAGACTTCGACCCGTGTGAAACAGGACTCGGAGCACGGGATTGTCCCGGTAAACGTGCGGCGTGATCAAGTGCGCGGATATGTCGATATTGGTCGGCTCCTTGTTGTAGGAAAGCGGGGTTTTGCTGCTGTTATCTGGGTCCATGTCCTCGGGTCTCAGTACCACGTATTTCGCCGGGATGGTCTGCTTCGTGGTGAAGGGACCGTAGGAAGCTGTCAACGTGGCCGGTTCGTCCGGTTGAACGACGGTGAACCGGTGGCTCGACAGCACCTCGTCGTCCTTCGGTCCTTTACTCGCGTCCTTGACCTTTAGGAGGGTCGCATCGTTGAGAGGGAGCTCTTGGGTGAAGAATCCCGATTCCGGCTTGTCGAAGTGCAATTCCAGCCCCCAGCACGACGAGACCCCTGAAGAAAGTTAATTTTATCAGGGAGCTATCCATCTTTCATCGAGAGAGCTCATCTGGCGAAGGCAAACATTCCATTTTCTCTCCATAAACACGAGAGGGGAGGCTTCCATCTCAAAGGAAAAGGAACTCTCATGACGCGAATGAGAAGGAAAAGCGGCAGGAGGCTCGGAATATCAATGCAAGAGAAGATGGATCTTCATTTATTCATTCCCCAGCATCCCGGAGAATCCCTGGGCGATCCACGAACTACGCATTACCCGCTGCAAACACTCGTAATCACGATGATGCAAGAGGGGAGAAGGGGGAATTTTATTGTCACAGTCGCGAGAGGTCAACCTTGAGCAATCTCGAGGATTCTCCGGAATGTTATTACATCGCCGTGCATGCTCTCGATAGATTTGTCACGATGGGTAAAAGCGAGACAGGTGCGGTTGCGATCCATCACGGATTTCGTCACGAGCAATCGACTTGGAATAGCCCTCTCTCGAACCGAAAAGAAAAAAACACGGTTCAGCTGTCACGTGTTGTGTGAAAAACACCGACACAGACGCATCGGCCTATCCACCCTTTTGTCATGGGAGCGTTCCCCTTCTCCTCTCCACGAGACTCCATAAAGCAGTGGGACCTCACAATGGGGGTCATACGCGTTCCCCACCCTCTCCCTTTTATTTTTCAATAGGCCTGAAAGTAAACCTGCGGGCATGGAATGCCTTTTGCTTTTTCCACGTTACAAAATCCAGTGCGAGACGTGATGGACTGGGCTGACCCTGCCGGTCGAGTATGGACGTGATCGGCATTTCGTGTCTCTTTGATACGAAGACCTGCTTGTTTCGTCTCTTGTCTCTCTTGTCCCTTCCCTCGTTTGCGTGCTTGTCATATTCTTAAGGAGAGGCATGCAGGTTGACGTTAAAATAGCCTGTTCCGACAGGCCCTGGGCCAGGACCATTCACTCGTCGAGTCCTGCAGGCCTCGTGACGTAACGTCGGACTCACCCAAGGCGAAGCACAGAAGGAGAGGAAGTCCTGCATCCATCGCGAGTTCGACGAGGCCTTCGCACGTTCAAGTGAGGCCTTCGCACATTTTCCTCGATCGACGCCTCTTCGCTGAAACAGGGAAAACCGGTCCGGATGATTTCCCTGTGGTACCGACGGCGACCGATTTCCGGTGCTCTATCCTACGCGATCGCCCGGACGAATGTTTCCTGCCTCGGAAAGGGCAATCGGACACGAAGAAAGGTTCACGGGGGCCAAATTTAGAAAAAAGCATCAACAAAGGGGGAGACGGAGTGGAAGTGGCCGCGCAAGCAGCGATCTGCATGGGCGCAAGCCACTCGCGAGTGAACTGAGGCCCAGAGCCAAGCGAACAGGGTGCAACGCCGGCTCGATACGGAAAGGCATCCCGTGCAACCCCCTCCGACCTCGCGAAACTTCCCTTGCCGGCGGCCCACGAGTCTCCTTTCGCCGTCCCTCCTTGTCGTTCACCGCATGCCGCTTCGATCGCCACTCGGGCCCGGGCAGCACACGACACGACCTCTGACTTCTGACCGATTCGCATCGGGAACATCAACTCGTGCGAGAGGAACGGGTCGCCTCGACGCGGAACGAAGTCGATCCGAAGCCATAACGAGTCGTTTGCCCCGAATCATGGAGCATCTGCTGGGTCGTCGCTTCATGCGTGCGACATCTATCGAAGAGAAGTCAAAGCGATCGTCGAAGGACGGTAAGACAGATGCCAGACGCGTCGGGTAACGATGGAGACGGAACGATGACAGCAATCACCGTGCCGTTCGCGCGGAACCGCACGAAAGCCATTACTCGAGCAATGAGGAAACGCGGCCCTTCCGCGAAGGTCCAAGGCCCCCCCGCAAAGGTCCCTGCGAGGACATCATTTTCGCCTCTCTAATTTTTAGACTTCGTGGAATGAGCCGAAGATGGCAGCTGCGTGGCTCGGCCTTGCGTCTTTCTCTGCGATCAGTTCCGCTCCTCGAGATCATTGTAAAATGTTTAAGGAGTGAAACGAAGCAGAGCATTCGACCGCAAGCTCCCCCCAACCCCCCCCCCCCCGGAATCCTGATCCAAAATATGGAATTCCATCCAAATTAAATGTTATCGAGGAAATTTGAGATGAATTTGGTCGAGTCGAGCCTCGTTTGACGGGAGGCTCTTGGTCTCCCTCGACGGGAGGCTCTTGGCCTCCTTCGACGGGTCGTGCCTCGTCCTTGAATCGCATGGGAAAAGCGCCTTTCAGTTTTCCTAAGGGTTTATGGGGCCATCCGGCGGGATTTACCGCCTTCTATGACCAAGCCCCATTCAAAATTGAGAGAGAGGGAGAGGGAGAGAGAGAGGGAGAGGGAGAGGGGGAGGGAGAGAGAGATGGAGAGAGAGGGTCGCCGTGTCTCCTTTGCGTCACGCCACGATGTCGGCCTTTCTTCTCGTCGCGGTTTTTGATCAGTGCAGATAAATCTCGGAACACGGGTCATTTAATTAGTGGAAAGTCGGACGCCGTCGCGACTTCTTTCCTCGCGATCCAAATCGAGCGAATCCGAAATCGGGAACGGAACGCAGACGCAGAAACGCGCGAAGCAAAATTCTCCCTTTTTTCACGCGTTCCTCAGAGATCTTTTTTCTTATTATACGGAGTGGAGACCGAGTAAACGTTCACCTGCGTCCACCGGGGCCGAACGGCAGGTGAACGGAAATGGATTACAGGTGGATCTGGAACCAAGCGGATGTCGCCTCTGTGGCCTGTTACACTCGACATTTACAAGTCACAAGCGACAAGTTGCAAGTACTTGTGATGGTACTTCTTTGATCGAGACACGATTCTTGGAAAATACTTTGGGTTTGTAAAGGCCCCGAGTGGAAATTCAGTCGACTATCTCCCAAGGTGAATTTCGAATCAGGCGGATGACCCTCCACCAGGTGGATTTTAACCTCGAGGGACATCCACCTGGTTTGAAACCCACCTATGGAAGGACGTTCCTCGAGGCTAACCCTTACAAATTTGGCTAAATCCCAATACTAACAGAACATTTTTTTCACGGTGGAACTTTGAAAGAAGAAACGGCTGTCACGCCTTCAGACATTAACGTGACGTCACTAGCGCCTGAACGCGACAGAGCAGAGACGACGTCCAAGCGACGTCGGGGCCGATTCTCGTTCTCGTTCGAAACGACCTCGACCCCGACGGAGCGAGACGAAATGACATCGAAAGCCGAGTTCGCGGTCCGCGAGACCGAAAGTCGCCTAGCGAAAGTTCCACCGAGGAACAAGAAAAAAAGAGAAAGACTCCTCCGCCTTTGGGATCTGTCATCGAGGCACCCATCCACACCCACCCATCCACACCCACCCATCCACAACCACCCTCGTTCATCCAAACCCATCCACATCCATCCACATTCATCCACATTCATCCATCGTGTCGTCGTTCCGGAAGAAGAACGGGACGGGGAAGCATCGTTCCGTCGTTCCCGAATGGCTTTTTGCACGGAGAGAATTTCCTTGGAATCCCTTCCGCATCGTCTGTTTCCATGTCGTGAGAATCCAATATTTAAATAAATAAATAAAAACGAGTGAGAGCGGATACGTTAATTTTTACATCGATGTTTTGCGTCCTTATGAATGCTCTGGTTCCATTCAAATATTCACTTTCCGTATTTAAAAAATATTCCGTAAGCCGCAACATCTCTCCGATTTTTCTGAGATGCGGAGGAAAAGAAAATCGAGAGTTTCATTCCGTGTCGATAGGAGATATTTCTATACGAACGAATCGACATCGTATAAAAGGTGGGAAGGAATCGGGAGAGGAGACGAGAGGAATCGACCACGAAGAGAGCAGATTCCTTTTCCACTCTCATTTTTCTTGCTCCGGCTTCGAAATGCCATTTCGTTCTGATAGGAGCCCAATCAGAGTAAACGTACGATTCTCGAAATTGGGGGTAATCGGTCGGGGTCTGCTCTCTTCGTGGTCGATTCCTCTCGTCTCCTCTCCCGATTCCTTCCCACCTTTTATACGATGTCGATTCGTTCGTATAGAAATATCTCCTATCGACACGGAATGAAACTCTCGATTTTCTTTTCCTCCGCATCTCAGAAAAATCGGAGAGATGTTGCGGCTTACGGAATATTTTTTAAATACGGAAAGTGAATATTTGAATGGAACCAGAGCATTCATAAGGACGCAAAACNGGTGCATGGCAGGGTGAGTGGCAGGGTGCATGGCAAGGTGCATGGCAGGGTGAGTGGCAGGGTGCATGGCAAGGTGCATGGCAGGGTGAGTGGCAGGGTGCATGGCAAGGTGCATGGCAGGGTGAGTGGCAGGGTGCATGGCAGGGTGAGTGACTCGGCGGCTGTGAATGACTGGATTCAATTCATGGCAAAATTGTTCCGAAATTACTAACGAGGCTAAATTACTAAGCTGCTAAGGAGGGAGAAATGATGTGAGAATCATGCCAAAGCGTTCGGCATGCACAGAATATGCAGATTCTCGCTGGATATGCATATATGTACCGAATACGTAAATATATGCCAAGTACGCGAGGGTAAGACTCCAGGAATGCCGGGAACTTCTGAGACGGATGCGATGCATCGATGCTCCCCGAATATTCCCACTATTCCGTCTTTTTTGCTCCAACGTTGCATTTACCGTTAGAAGAAGAGTAAAATGGTGCTTTTGGTATGTTTAAAAATAGGTTTGAAGGGTGTCCTGATCCAGGCGAGGTCGTGTCGTGCAGTGTCGCACCGCTCGGCTCTGGCATCGACTAATTCCGAAATTCGGTCGGCGAAGTCGATCGGCGCGAACGCGAGTGGTTTTGCATCTTGGAGACGCTGTGAGGAATCCGACACCTTGACCTCGTGCCATCGCATCGCCTCGTGCCACCGCTTCCGATATCGAACCGAATCGTGACCATCCTTGAGCTGAAGAAATATAAATGAAATGCTCGCCGGTGCGTGGTGCGACCGATTCGCCAACAGCCGAGTCTACTTCCTTCCTTCCTGCCTTCCTTCCTTCTTTTTCTCCCACCTTCTCTCTTTCCCTCCTTCCATCCCTGTTACCTTGTTTCCCTCCATCCTCCTTTCCACGTTTCGTTCGTTCCTTTCTCGGTCGGGCCTCTGTGCGTTCACTGCAGCGAAGGTCGGACGGCGGTGGAAGGGGGAAGGGGAAGGGTGGAGGGAAGGGAGGAGGGGGAAGGAGAGGGAGGAGGGAAGGCGTCGTTCATGCGTGCGGCATCCAGCGAATCCTGGAACATTAACCCTTTTTTGTGGCGAATTTGGCTCCGCTTGGCTGCCCTTCCGTGCCCATCTTGTAAGCTAAATTTCGTGCTATTTAGCTTTTCCGAGCTATCGAGATTCGCAGCGCGATCGAGAGTCGGCGGTGGCACCGACCGTTCCTCGAAAAACCGGGTGAGTCTCGAAAACAGCGATCGCGTCGGGGTTTTAAAATCGACTTAAACTCGAACTTAGCTCGACTCGAAGGGTCGTGTCTCTCCGTGACTTCGGTCTCTTGGAATGCGATGTTTCCAACGGTCGGAGTGCTGCACGTAGCGTGCGTGCACGAGCAGAAATTGACACCAAAATAAAAGAGAAGTAACGTAAAGATTCACGGACAAAACGTGGATTTGGGACGTGCACGGCCCGCTGTGCGCGCCGTCGACACGTATCGAAAAAAAAAAGGTTCATCTCGTGTTTCGTGGACGGCCTCTGACGAAAACGTTCGGATTCATTTTTCGTGACACGATTTCACTCGCTTTCGTCCCTCTCTCACAGCCGAGACTTAAATGCAAAAACTTGCGCCAGTGGGTCGACTGAAGAACGCATCGATCGCGATTGCACGGACTGCAGCGCACGCAGTCCGTGAAGATTCGGCCAAGGTCGAGTTTCTCCTAACTGGGGAACCGGAAAGATATTTCGGGAATGGGATCGCCTCGAAACCATCCTCTCTCTCTTCTTCCACGACGGAAGAGAAACCGTATCGCGATCGTGCATGGCCGCACGTTTCGTATCGAGTGCTCGGAGGGCACAATCGAGGCGCGAGTGAACCAGCAAACGACGGATCTCGGTCCTTGAGTCCGGATTAAGTCCACTCGGGCGACTTCTAGGAAGGCGTCGGGGTCTCCCCGGGCGGTGGGCGTCACCGCCCCTGGAGACGGAGAGCACGCTTCACCGAGTAATTCATTTTTAAAAATGGTTCTCGGTGCGGCGCCGTGGCGGCGGTATGACGAAAGACGGTGTCCTACGGTTTTCGTAACGAAAAATGTAGAAGGGGTCGGTACGATCATCGCGAGAACCGAATACCGCGGTACGATGGGAAATATCGGCATACCGCAACGCCCTAGCGAGGACCACGTTCGGCGAGGAGCAATGTCCGACGCGAACGACGATACCGTAGATTCATGGATTCCATCATTCCTTTCCGAAGCCGAAGTCTCGACCGGGCGGAGATCCTCGGGAGCATCTCGGGCAACCCACTCCAAGGAGCATCTCGAGCAACCCACTCCAAGGAGCATCCCCGGCAACCCACTCCAAAGAGCATCCCCGGCAACCCACTCCAAGGACTCGAGGTGG